CTCCATTTCAAAAGCGGCTAAAAACAAAGGAAAGCCGAAATCTTCACCCAAAATTTCACCATTCCATCTAAACAATATGTCGATGTTAACGGCTAACTGAGTCCTCCAAATATAACTGCATTCAATCAAAATACGTTACTGACGAGCCGAAGACATTGCAGCCACATTCGCCAATTTTGGTTAACCTTTCAGATGACAAAGTTCTTCTGCGAGACACTTCCGAAAGCAGCATCTTTCAACATCATATAACCGACGAATCTTTCAAGATCTGCACAATATGTCGAAGACAAATAACTTTTTGCGAATTAGAAGCCCCACTCAAGCATGCAAAAGGCAAAACTCCTGGATCGATCGGATATCATCCTATGCTTTCTAATCTACCGTTACTAGCCAAACATAGGCTACTTTCTCTCTATAACTCTGTTTTCCAAAGCACGCATCCGCATGTTTGGCGCACAGCCACAGTGATTCCAATACCAAACCAAGTAAGCCCATCAATTTACTTCGTCATTCCGTCCTATTTTTACTGTCTTGTCTCACCAAAGTTTGAAAAATTTTGGCTAAAGGTTGATGTGGTTTATTACTAAAAAATCTTATCAAACATATCCAAACGCCTTTAAAAACAAGCACACAGACTCACTTATTCAACCTAGCACTTTATCTCTGACTCTTTCTACAAAACCATGCCTCAATTATAGCTACCGACTTTGAGAAGCTTTCGACCGCGGTGTTCATGCAGTTCTAGCCAACCTGCGTCTGGAAAATCGCAAAGTTTTCAAATAGTAAAGCTTTCATGGCTCACCGACAATTTAGGGTACGCGTCAAACGTCTTTCAGATACCTACCAACTCAAAACGGTATACCTAGGCTCGCCTTATCAGTAGTACTTTTATTATTGCTTTCGAAAAACTCACTGATATTTGTTTAAATCAAGAGCGTCAAACTCACATCAGCGGATGACGCCATTGTTTATGCTAACTAAAGATCCACGAGCGGATTGAGACCTCAAAGTAATACTAGAATTTAAAAAAGGGGCTTAAATCAGGAGATCATCACCCACAAACTTCTTCATATTTGCAAAAGTTAAATGTAATTTTCACAACTAGTCTTTGAAATACTATTATTCAGTCGGTATCCAAAAATTTTAGGTATATGGTTTGATAATATACTTTAAGCATCAATGTATTAACCTCAGAAAACTTTCCAAGAGACTCATATTATTAAGTATATAATAGCAAAATCATTCATACACTCCAATACTCCATCATATTAAACGCCATTACTCTCCAAGATCGACTATGGCTTATTTATTTGGCTGTGCGCCAACACAAACATCAAGCAACTTGAACCATCTATCACGCCCTTTCGTCGTAGTATTAACGTTTCCCATATCTCCTACAAAATGCATCCTAGGAGAGGTTTGCAGCAGGACAAAGATATAGATACAACGATTCAACTCATTCCAAAAGTTTTAATTTTCCTAACTATGAACTTCATAGACTTAAAGCTCCAGCAAGACAATCATCTCGACTCAGATAACTTGAAATCATATAACGAATTTAAACAAATGACCTGATTCCATAGAACCATGATAGATACACACTTCCACCTAAAAATCAAACAAGTAATACAACTTTTCAACAACGATTTTGACTAGGACACTTACAAACAAAGAAATTTACACCATATACAGACGCCTGCAAAGCAACAATACTGAAACTATCCAATGGACTATTATAAACGGGTATTCTATCACGTCTGTATTTACGGCCAGAACTTTTGATATCCACAAAGATATAGAGTACGCAATTCATCAAAAGGTAAATCGTCATTTGCTCGGATAGCCTCCTGCTTGAACGAGTAAAAACATACGTACAGCTCAAACGTTATTGGAAAATCCAGATCTGTGCATTAAACATAAGCAAAAGTTGCTTTTGCTCAGGTACTGGCCACGTCGGAATTCCGCACGAGCAACTGATAATGCAGCGAATTTCGAATCAGCGCCAACCTTTCAATATGAGCAAATGATGTTAAGAAAATGCTTCAAGAACATAGTTCTTCAAAGTCTTATGGAGTGGAGACGCTTTCAACACCGATACACACAATCCTTCAACTTGCCTGATAATAACATTCATTCATCATCAGGCAGCCACCAAATTGCCTTTCTGCGGAACAACTTGTCATCGATCACATTTCTAATAATTAACGGCTTTATCACTGATCAGTATCGTAAAATTATTAACTAGACCATCTCATGGTAATATTATATTTCAAATTATATAATTTTCTAGTAGAATGTAACTTGCAAAATAGAATATAAATTTTACTTTAGCTTTTTCCTTATGTATTAACATTCGGAGCCGATGGCCACCGTTGCTTGTGCTCCTCTATGTAATTAGGTTTAATATTTGTATATTATTCCTAATAACCAATAATAATAATAATAATATAAGTAACTTATTTACCCACTGTACACATCTAAAATTACTGTAAACCAATTATTTTGTGGAGGTGATGAAATGTGAAAAATTCACTTAAGTACAAATTTAGAAAAAAAGTATATGTATGTATATATAAAAGAATACCCATATGCAAGAACCTATGCTAGCATATGCAAGAGCATTGTATGGTATGTATGTGTTTAAAATCCTTACGACGGCGCAATCACAAAGCATGCGTAACAACAATTGAGCACATGCTATTTGACCATACGACTATATCTTGCAAATCAATTAGGAAACTTGTTGCTCTGGTTGAGAGTATAAACACATTTTATAGCATATGCAGTTAAAACGCATTAAAATAACATAAGCGTCGCAAAATGAAGTTGGCAGTGATGCAAAGAATTGCAAAAACAAAAAGATGTCGCTAGAGAGGACAATGTCGAGCAAGAGCAGCAATATTAAAGTAACAATAACAGTAAACGACAACTCTTTGCGGAGCTGACCGAGCGAACGGAATTGCTTATCATTTGTTCGTATGTCCATCGAAGCCCTGTTGCGAATGCATTCGGTGTCAGCGCTCTTTTAGGTCAATGCACGACATTAAGTGATTGCAGTTTGTTTGAATATAAAGTTCGGTTGTTATGTTCACAAGTCATTGCATACACGATGGTTGAGTGTAGGTTTTGCAGCTAAGGAGTGACTTAGCTCCGGATGCACTGAGTATTTATTTATTGGCTTTTGAAACTAATTTTCTAACCTAATAGTATACTAGGATTACTGCTATACGAATGGTCGAAAATAACAAAATAATAAAATATGGATTACTTATATAGTTTATAGATTTCATTGCGCTGCCGATAGTAATACTTATTATACGTTATTAACGCAGCCTGCGATTCATCTGGCATAAAGCATACTTTAGGAGCAATCGGGGCAATTCAAGTCTTTTTTCATTGGCCTAAAGACAAAATGTTGTCAAAGAAAAATTTCAAAAATTACAAGAAAGTAAACAATGAGCGGAAATAGTTAAAATCCTTTCCACAAGAGGCTTCTCAACTTTTGACAGCAATATTGACTATCGAATTTCATCAATGAATTCAATTTGTTCAGATCATAGATGTTGATGTAATGTTGATGTGATCGTCAGAAATATCGATGTAACGTTGGGACTCAAGATTATTTGCCATTTATAAAGCTGATTTGAAGAACACATATAAATTTTTCAAAGACAATTATTCTTGAAACATGTTTTCGATGAAGAAAAGAACGCAGAACTCTATAAATTTTCTGAAAAAATCTTTTTTTGTTCCGAGTGAGTTTTTATTTCTGATGTCAGCAGGTGGTGAAAACGAATCTACGGTCAAAATATCCAAAATGTACTTGATGCACTAGCGGAAAGTTACTTTCAACCAAAATATTTAGAACAGACATTTTTAGAAACAATTTCAACGTATGGCTATATAATTTCAGATAATAAATGGGGGACATTTGAAAATGTACAATAAATAGGAATTTACGAGTATTACCTGTAACAACAGCAACTCAAGAAAAAACAAGAACGATCGCTTTCGACTTAAACAGAATCAAAAGTTATCTTAGGAACACGATTGAATGAGAGCATTTTAAGACCATTCCTTGAACATTCACAAGACAATCATTTGCACGTGTTTTACCTTGATGTTATGGGCTTCTCAATTTAATTCAGAAATAAATAAAAATTAATGTCGGATTTTGTTTTCCCCAGCCCCAAGGGAGGGATTCAAACTCGAAAGCCCCCTGTTGTTGACTTTATATTATCACGTATAGTACAATGTAACATTGCGTCGCTCTGTGGTATAAAAATCTATTTATGTAAGTAGGAAGTAGTAAGGGGAAACGCCAAATGAAGAGACAAAAATAAATGTCGCAATAACAAAATATATTTGTAAATTTCAAACCGCAGCCATGCAGAGGCGTTCCAGCCAGGCAGATATGTGTAGAAGAAGACAACGTTTTTCAGACCGCTTATTGTGGGCGGTCAGATGGAAAAGCTGCTAAAATGTACAGATCACCAATGTAAGAGTGTTCAGCTCTAATCATCAATTCTCCGCTTTACTCGTACAGTTGTTGTTATCTGTTTTTTTGTTTTACTAAAAAATTCATCTATCTCTGCATTGCCTTTGTTTTTGTTTGTGTGTTGGGACAGTTGACTTATTGGCTAAATTTGTCGGTTGTCTGTCTGCTTCTGCTATGTTTTTGTTATAAATAATTTGTTTCTCCCGTCTGCAAATACATTAATATTCTTTGAACGTTAGATAAGCTTTTTCAAGTTTTTTAAAAATTCTCATCTATTCTAAGAAAAATAAAAATAGATGACTTTTAATTTTTTAGCTCTACTCATACCTTACATGCCATTGCTTAGTGATCAATTTTGAAAGGGTACTCGTAAGGGTGTAAAGTGTTTTTCATATTCATAAAATATTTCATCACAGTTTTTATTGCAACTAATTTGTTAAGGATTAGAAAAATTATTTCTTTTCTAATAAATATGATAACTTATATTTATACTTCTACTCACTCTCTGTGTGCACCACAGGTGGACCAGGGTGCTTATTGCCGCCACCGCCGCTGCTACCGCCCGATGAAGCACCCGAAAATGAGCTAAATTTGGCGAAGGGATGGACCGAGGCGCCAGCACCATAGCCATGCGAATTTATTTGCGCCGAATTGATGATTGCTTTGCCAACATCGGTCACTTTGTCGCCAGAGGAAGCAACCAAATTGCCACTAGCGCTCAACGCGTAACCGCTACCCTTTATCAGTTGACCTTTGAGCGCTGTCACACCACCAGTAATTGCTTTCACTGCCTGGAAGATGGTGTTGAGTACAGATTTCTTAAATGTCCATGGATTGTAATCCACCGAGTTGCCCTAGAAGTTGCATAGTAACAAAAATGAGATACAAATAATATCAAATGTGATGAAAACTGGTGGATATTAATACATGAGCCGATTCGTATGACTTGTAGCCATCGCCGCCGCCACCACTACTGCCGCCCGAACTGCCCGAGGCTATGGACGCGGATTCTTGCCCAATGCTGGAGAGTAGACCAGACTTCAAATGCGCAACGTAATCGAAACTTCCAGAACGTTTCTGTATTTGTGACTCGCCGCCTGAAGCTGCATGGTCGCTATCGGGCAGCTCGACCTCTTCCAGTGAGATAGATTTGTCTTCACTTTCCGCGGGATAGCTGTGCGCAAGTAGAGGGAGTGTGAGCAGCAAAATGTAGAACAACTGGAAGGAATGAAAGGGATACAGTTAATAAGCAAAGTGAATATGACTTGGATAATTAAAATTTTATATTTATGTAGTTGCTCTCAGTATGACGTATTTGCATAGTTAAGCAAACAAAAGCTAGATTTCAACTGTCTTTCCGTAGTATTTTGTGCTCTTTTTAATTTTTCCAAAACTGTGCCACGCATGCGCAACATTTCTAACGTAGCTTCACGCAGTTTTTGCGTTGTGACTATATACTGGACATTACATCATTGAAGTCTAAGTGCGGAAAGTGTGAGGAATATACATATATAATATAAAAAGTTAAAGCACTCAGGCATTTTAAAATTGTCAACGACATCATTTGCAAGCATTCCACTGCTGTCATGAGTTCAGACGAAGTCACTTTGTAGTATTACCGCACTAATATTTTCAACGTTGTGCGTTGAAAGTACTTGCGTAAAAAAATACTACAATTTCGTAACGACTTTTTAAAATTTGGAGTTACAGTTGAGTACTTTTTTACATATCATTTTTATCTGATCGTTACATTATTGCATTATATTTATATACTTTATACCTTGTCACCAATAACATGTCTATTTACGACCCAAACTTGCGGAGCCCATAACTAAATCCACACCAAACACAATTTTTTAGGTGCTCAGCAATCATTATTTATTTTGGTAATACAATACTCGTAAATTAAGGTCGAGATTGAAATTTTCACTTATTGATGTCAGATTGCATTGCAACAATAACTCTGGGTATGTGTCTTCGAAGACTGCTTGAAAAAATACTATGTCTAGACAAATCCATCTCACTGGAAGAGGTCGAGCCCGATAGCGACCATGCAGCTTCAGGCGGCGAGTCACAAATACAGAAACGTTCTGGAAGTTTCGATTACGTTGCGCATTTGAAGTCTGGTCTACTCTCCAGCATTGGGCAAGAATCCGCGTCCATAGCCTCGGGCAGTTCGGGCGGCAGTAGTGGTGGCGGCGGCGATGGCTACAAGTCATACGAATCGGCTCATGTATTAATATCCACCAGTTTTCATCACATTTTATATTATTTGTATCTCATTTTTGTTACTATGCATCTTGTAGGGCAACTCGGTGGATTAAAATTCATGGACATTTAAGAAATCTGTACTCAACACCATCTTCCAGGCAGTGAAAGCAATTACTGGTGGTGTGACAGCGTTGAACTAGTTGAATCAAAAAGCGTCGATACAGTTCCAAACAAAAAAAAAATACTATATTTACTACATATATCACTTATTTGCAGGTAATCTCGTTTAACATTTGGAAAACTTTATTACCTCATACATTTATATTCATTGATTTCACAAGTATAGAGATGGTTTGAGCATAAAATGTACAATATTGGGGCGACAAATTGGTCAACAGTTTAGATCTATTTTTTTTCCTTCCGAGGTCCTCGTTTTTTATACATTCGCAACATGTTGCACAGAGTATAACAGTTTTGTTAATCTAATGGTTGTTTGTATCACCAAGAAAAATCGAGTTAGATATAAAGTTATACGGTTATGTACCGCCCACTTTTAGGCGAAATCCTATATCACAGGAACTACTTCAACCAAATTTGGTGTGTAAGGTTATCCAGTTATTAGTATTGTACTCTATGGAAATGGGCGAAATCAGTTGACAACCATTTTTACTTCCTATATAACAAGTTTGTAAGTTCCTTATGATTTTTTCTCTTTCCTGTAAGTTAACAATAGTTAACTAAGTCAGTCTCTTGAACTGCCAAAATTGCAACCTATGCAGTTTGGATTTCTGAATGACCGACAGCCGCAATTCAACACCTTGCAGTAGCCACCGACCGTGTGACTGGCGGATGTAACGCAATGCCTTACACAAGCTTAGGCGTCAGCAAAAACTTAGGGAAGCAGCGTCAATGGCAGTAGCGGCGATAGTAATAGTAGGTTATAAATAAGAGAAGTGTAATTTTAATAAAACAGTTTTAGAACGGAACTCAACTTGTGTTTATTTAAAATAACATAATTCCGTGGTAGTCGACAACACCGTCGCTACCGAAAAAAGGAACAGTAAAACTGATAATAAAAATATAACTTGTATACATATCAAACATCAATGAAGTTTTTAGAGTGTATGTGAACACTAATGCATATGGCTGATCTTTTGTCAAACATATTGGTCAGTCTGTGAATTCTAGTATTGAAATTCGGGGATAATATTTTTATGACAGCATGTCGTTGTACCAAAAATAGGTAAAATCGGGTGAATACTACCTTTACCCCCCATACACCTAATATATGTATTTTCGAACTTCTGGTGGACTTAAATAATGTAATTAAAAATTTCCGAAAATCTCGTATATCACTTTTCCTTACAAGAGCATACGAGTAAAATGTTTGGTTACACCCGAACTTAGCCCTTTCTTACTTGTTTTATTAATATCTACAACGCTGGTTGGAGTCAAGGTTAATTAAGTCCTCTAATTTTTGCACAAATCCACCACAGCAGGTCCTAGGGTGTTTTTTCGGTGTTTTAATTCTGTTTGGATCTTTGCGTTATAAGCTAAATTTTTCACTACTGAAGCAGCTTCTAACGGTCTATGTGCTAATAGGCTTCATCAGAATTGGAATCTCGGTTAGATGTAACCCGGCAATGGATGAATCACACAAAGAGTGGATCGCTCATAATTTGAAAAAAAAACGAATCTTCTAAAAGGAACTCTTAAAGATATCGTCATCTTTTTCATTTGTTGTTATCAGTTTTTTCAACGATTGGATCGTACTAAGAAAAACACGGGCCTAGGTAAGTAATCCATTACTTTTAAATGAAATTGAATGCTTTAATTATTACATTTCGTTTGCAGCCTTTTTCAAATAGTTCCAAGTTTTTTGTGCAATGTTTGGGTCCTGGACAGTCGTAATCGGTGTTTGGACTCGGCGATTTCCATTATTTGATCGATTTTTTCGATAATTGGTCTTCCAGAGCGTGGTGCATCTTCGACATCGATATTACCAGAACGGAATCGACGAAACATGATTGGCTGTTACAGTACCAGGACCATAAACGCTAATCACATTTTCAGCCGCTTTGCTGACGTTTTCGCCCTTATCGAAGAAAAACTGTAAAATATAGCTATTTTCTCTTTGTGTCTTTTAGTGTCCATCTTTGCGCGCGCTCAAACAAAACTGAATCAACCAATCACAAAATTGTCAAATTTTTTTTGTAAGAAATGTCATCTTTTTAACGCCATCCAGCCGATCGCGATCGGACTTATACAATGCAGATAAATAACACTATCTATTGAAAAAATAATGGATTTCTTTTGACTACACCTATTATGTTAATAAACACTACATACTACGGCCTATGACCTATCTATAGGTATATAAAGCTGAATTTCTGTCTGCCAAGTTTTAATATCTTACAGAAGGGAATTTACCACAATTATATATAAAATTCATTAGTGCATAGAGTGAAGAGGTCTACATAAACCATAAATACCCTACTGCTGATTCAATATGTTAATATACTTACATGCGAAGTTTTCTGTAGTGCTGTAACCAAACGGAAAGATGATAATATGGAAAAATGCAACGACATTTACGATCATTTGGACATTACTATCATTGAAAAATATGCAGATACACTTGCCAGAAAAAGTCTGTGAACATGCATCAAATTAATATTATCATATCAATATTCTTTTATAATTTGCGGCTTATTTCAAAATGTTAACTCTTAAAGGAAATTTCCCTTTTCAGTATATTCTAACTATTTCTTTTCAAAATCAGTTATATTTGACTGTGAGATCAATATAAATACAAATACGTTATTTTGTAAAGACTTCGAAGTTTTTGTGTAAAAGAATTGACGATAGCGTCCGAAAAGAAGGAAAGTAGTAGTGATGAAAATAAAATATCCTGTAATTAGCAGAACGTCGTGCAAAATTTCGGAAAAACTGGTTCCATGGCGTAAAAATAGCGACCTGGGCTTCCAGGAAAGTTGACTGTGCATAAGAAGCGTGAAATATTGTGGCCAGTAAAAAAAAATTTAAGGTAACAGCTTCTTAAATAAGCGAATTTCACTGTGAACGCATTCAGAGTGTTCGGATACTAAGCAATATGAGATAGGAAAAAAATTGTTACCCCACATATCTCTATGCACAACAATCTGTCTATGCAGCGCTGTACTAGTATTCCTAACTGAGCCTTGAGCCCTAAATATTCTGAAATTTTCTCTGTAGTTTAAGTTTCTGGGATCACCAAAACAAATTCTTTTTCACACTAAGTCTATCCTGAAGCAGAATACAAATCGTACTGAAAATATGGTTTAAAAAGTTGGAAAATTATTAAGATGGGTGTATCACTCCGAATGGCCACTTTTATAGCCTGACTTGTAAAATTATGACACGGACGAACAAATGTAAATTTTGAGCTTGACTAAAAATTTGAATAAAATTACAATATGTTCTTCTTTATTACTGTTTGCCAACTGATGAATTCCTCGAAGGAATATAATACGTAATTCTGAATGATATACAACTAGTGAAGCAATGAGCACTAACAAAGGAAGCGTCAAATTAAATTTCACTAAGTTGTTAGTGAATATTTGAAATATATATAAGCCCTTCAACCGGCAATGCTTATGTTCCATTGTTAGATCTGATGTATGTAAAAGATCAAATTTGATTCAGACTGGAACATATGCCATTGGCAGCTTTGCGGCGCACTAAGTGGATTTTTCAGTTTCGTAAACAGAAAATGTCAGGGAGAGCCAAATCTGGCGAATACGGTTGCTGAGCGACGAATATATCGGCCAATAAGTGAGTTATCTCAATGAAACTGAGAGAGCGTATTTTACTAATAAGAGTGTATCTTTGTGCCCAAAATTAACAACATCGGGTGAAACTAGATCGAGCCCCTATATAACTAATATCAGAATTTTCGAACATTCTTCTGAGATTACTCCATATGATTGGTGATGATATGTGAGGTACTTTAGTGCAACCAAAATAGG